AAATGTTGCGCATGCCAGTCCACCGACTTCCACGACGTGCGTTGTTTTCTCACCCGGGGGTGTGGATGGAAGAAGAGGAGAAGTGGCCAAGCCATGACTTGGTCGAGAGGAATGGAGGCCCTCACTTCGGAGCTGGCCTCGGTTGGAGCGTCTCGGCTCCCTGGTTGGGGTCCAAAAGACGATGAACACGTTTGGTTGGACACACTTACTGATATGGCTAGGAGCCGACCTCAGTGGCATTTGTTTATGAGTTTCTTTGTCCCTCCCCTCTAACCACGACCTCATTTTGTAGCGTAATCTAATTCTACATAATAATTTTTTGTTGTTGCCTAGTAGCCGGCTGAAAGCTTTCCGGAACGATGGCTATCCTTTGCTGGTAGCTCAGCTGGCATGCAACTTTTGTATTTATTTTACTTTTTCATTTGTGTACTACGGCACACTAGCTGAGGGGCTTTACACCTCTAGCTAACGTTTATAATGACAATGATGATGACTCTATCGCCTCATCGTTACGCATTTTATTTAGTTCACTTATGTATTATACAAATTTGATTCGACGCCGGATCCCAGCCCGATCGATAAGCAAACCCACACTGCCTCCCGCAAAAAGTTTGTGACTTTACCTCCGTCGGCTATGTTCGAACCTGCAGTCCCATCCATATGACGTCAGCTGGTATTGTGTATCCATCCAGACAGGCTGAATGCGTTAAAAGCTGGTTAGCAAACGGGGATCGGGATCTGCCCGCGCGGCTGGAGCTAGGTATCAGCATGGTTCACAGCACTGCATTCACGCGACCGCAGACAAATTCCTTTGCGTTTCGAACTCGTGATCCAAGACTACTCAAATTAGTATAGCAAATTGTAGCTACAGTAAGCAATCTCATCTTTAGTGCATAAATTTAACTATGGCGTAGGCGAAAGAACGACAGACTCCATTTGGTTCTGATCAACCCACTGGTAAGTGCATCACCGTGCTAACACGGAAATATGGCAATCTGACACCGATTGTGCAGCGTACGACGGCCAGTATAACAGCGGCATCTGAAGCAGCTGGTGCAGAACTCGACTCACGTGGACTAAACTTAAGCTCTGCTTTGGAACAGAGTAACCAAACCAAGCGTATAGTCACTAGCGCAGATCTAGGTACTTCAGCCAGAAGAACTTGCAAACAGACGGGCCACTAGGGTCTACCAACCTCGGTGACTCCAATCTTACATAGAATGGTTTTTCCAAGGCAAGTGTCTGTGGCATTCCGGTTTATCTTGTAATACTGAAATATTGACAACATACGCAACCGTTGTCACTGCATGCAGATCCGAAGCCAACGGTCACTTCTGTAACTACCGTAAAAAGCGTTAGAGATAAAACGAATACCAGTACACCTCCGACAAGTCCGTCTGCCACGCCGCCAGAGTATCGATGCATGCTCTTATCCAAGGTTGTGAACACTAGGAGGACGCATAACTTGATGAAGATAACATGCTCTAATATGACTGGGTCGAATTCAAAAGCAGTCTAAAACAAACTACTTGTCCACCTGCAACAATAGGACTCCATGTGCCAAGTGATGGGAATCCGGAGCAGATATGATAGTTTGCTTCGCATCGTCCGCCGCCCAAACTCGTTTCACTGCGGCAAATCGAAGCTGCTTCAGGTGACACTTCAGTCAGGTAACGAAGCGGAGACCACCTTTTGCTGAAACTTAGCCACAGCACTGAGCTCAGGGGTAACTGTTTGTAATTGAGGGAACAATATAGCCGTCTAAAGTGTCCCTTCGGGTTTGCCAACCTTGGAACGCACTGCCAGACTCAGTTGTATCCTCCCCTACTTTGGACATTTTCAAAAAACAGGTGGATGTTGCTCTTAGGTCCCAACACTTTGTTATCTAAACTCCTCAATTGTGGATTACGCCTAGCTGTTTTTCCACAGCATTTATATATCAAATGGACCAAAGTGAGCGACCATGTTTTACTTTTTCAACGCTTTATATCAACGACTACTGCACCCCAGTGTGTCTGAACGTTTACGCTCGATTTTTCTAATTTTACATTTATGTAATTTACCAAAGTATTCATCTCGGCAGACGTTCAGTAGATAACCTACATATATTTTGATTGCATCATATTCACCCCAATCTTCCTATGGGACGTGTCAAGCAATCGCTTTTGTCCCGTGATAAATCATTGTTCATTGTTTGCTCCCCCTCTTTGTGACTGATCATGTGACGTTCGCATATTCCCTGACATTCCTTGGAGCAAGCGCCGGTAAATGAAGCAAAACCCAGGAGAATACCGCAAGCAAAATGACCAAAGAGAAATCTTTGTTCATTATGCTTTCGACATTCAGTCTTCCGTCGAGTCACGAGCCCAAGCGACACCTCCGTAAAACTCTCTTACTCTATGACGTGATTGCCAACTCAAGGTCAAGGTTACCCATATTAGCATATTATAAGAACTATGCTCCAAGGGTGCTGAAAGTTCCGCTCCACTCTGAACATATGATTGAAGGGGTGTTTGGAGGTTGGCACAAGTTAAGCATCAGACTGCCGTCAGTAGCATTTGAAGGCGGTCGAAGCCAGGCCACCGTTAGCTAAGCAGACACGAAACCGAGCCTTACCGTCTGCCTTTCTTAATCAGACCGCAGTGCAACTTCCTAGCCGTCCAATGAAGAAGAAATAAGCAATTCGCCGCAAGTCCTCTCTGAGGGATTTGGTAGTGGGTGCTCTGTGGAACCGCTCGAAATAACCCCGGGCGATAGGCGAGAAATCTATAAAAAATAGCGGTTGTCAGCCGACCCCACGTAGGTCGGTGTAAATTCGCAGGGAACTTTTGTATCTTCTGATACGCTTCAGGCATCCATAACTCTCAACTGTTTGTACACAAGCGCACAAAGCATTCTCAGTAAATTGGCCGAATATCGATTTCGTCAAGACCTAATGTCTTGGGACTTCATCGTGGCAACGGAGATATGGCTGAACGAAGGGATTTCTGACGCCTAGGTCTCTACATTGCATGTCACTCTTGCTCAGCCACCGACCCACTAAGAGAGACAGCCTTATTCTTTGCCATTGTTCCGACCTATACGTCAGCCGCTTGAACAACACAAGGATTCAAGCCGTAGACTCGATATGATTCCATCTACATATAAGGCAGGGCCTTTGGATACCGCCCATCATTATCTACTTTAGAAATGGAACAGGTTCTAGCCTCCACTATGAAAAACCTACTATAACAATCTTACAGCCACGTTCTCGTGTCGGGGACTTCAGTCTACACGCCCTAGAAACTCCGGCAATGTTCGGTGAGCAATTCAAGGCGAAACTGCAAGAGCTAATCGCAGGTTCACCGCTGTACAACCTTATCACTTCTCCAGCGCATTTTACCAACTAGGAACTCATGATTAACGTAATAACTACGTGCACGCCTTTTCACCGCAGCGATCGTGCGACACTTGTGTTTCGCTACTTGTGGTGCCGAAACCTCTCACGTAGTAACCAGCTGTGATAACCTGTCCGACCTCATTGGTGCAACAAGCTGGGTTTTTCCTAGCCGAATGGTCCCCTGAGGTGGCCTGTGGGGCAATTTGTGAACACATTCACCATGCTAGTGGTGAGCACAACAAAAATCCAAATCCACTACTAAATAAAGACGAAGTCATTCCTAAGGAGTAGGACTCATAAAACCATGATGTTGAGGGACTCGGCTTGGCTTGCCCACATAAACTCTCCGAGTGAAAACACCTGGGATGTCTATACAACACAAATGGACTACTGCGTCAAACTCGTCCTGGAGGACAGAGTAAAATTCCAGCAAAACCTTGTGACAAGGATTTACCCCAAGCTGCTTTAAAGACATGTGAAGGATCTTCGTAGAGTTAGATGTGGACTTCCTGCTGTACACACAGCATGAGAGCTAGCGCAAACGGTACAGTAGGCAGACAACATACTTGCACAGCAATCTAACCGCACCTTCCAAAGTGTACAATCATCTTACCTTCTGCCTGCGCAGATCATGCCAATATCTGGGCCTAATCACATCCTTTACTACCACAGATGTACTGAAGCGGCTGATGTCCTTGTAAGAGTACACCTCCCACTGTGCAGACGACATTCTCCCAAAGACGTTGAGAGTAGCTTTATCGTTAACATTATTCTTTCCACGATCTCTTAGTGACATGCAAGTATCCCCCGTGCCGAAGCACGGAATCATTATTCCAATCTATAAAAGTGTTACCCGTGCAGAACCAGTGAATTACAAGCCGATAATACTACTTCCGGCGATCTCCAAGACCAGGAAATCTATTGTCGCTGTGGCGCTCCTGGTGCACATTGCGAGTAACAGATTTGTCACTTCGGAGCAGTACGGATTTTCGCCAAAATCGATCATTGAGTACTAACCCACTGATGGTAAGTGCATGCTGTACGGAATCTGCGGATGCTAGTGTAGGAGTAGATACTGCGTAATCTGAATTTCTCGAAGGCATTCGACCGTCTGGATCATCACATTCTACTTCACATGCTTCGGAATTATGGAATCGAGTACCCTGTTCCGAGCTGGATAGGCGACTTTTTCGTTCATCATCATCTGAAGATGAGGGTTCGCACTACCCTATCCGAACCAATCGTGGTCTAGTGCGGTGTACCCCACTGCTCGGTACTCGGGCCCCGCCTGTTCCTGGTCTTCATAAATGATTTCTGTACTGCTGTAAATATCCAAGCTTAACAATTGGACTCACCCCATCTGGTTACAGTACTTAATGATGACTATCTATAAGAACTATCTTTTACTTACTTACCCTTTGTTACGGCGTGCAGCTGTGTGTTTTACTACAACCATTCCATCAGATAAATATTTATTCTCGACTATGCGGGGCACGCACATGGAGGCATGATCAGATTCAGCTATGACCCATACGCATACCTCTTTGCCAAACTGAAAGATACATTATTGACATAATTACTGTTGTTATTACATTGATGATGATACATAAGATATACTCACTTTTTGCACTTTGAATGACTATGTATGTCTCATTGAACAATTTCCGTCCAACTTCCTCTAGTTGAACTTCATCCGTCAGCTGAAATTATAAGAGATTGTCAATGTACCGGACTTCTCATCCTTATGTGGTGAAGTCAGAAATAATTGCGAAAGTAGGTTTGGTTTACCAACACTTGAACTTTATTTGATTTACTAACATGTTGCAGATGCCCCTATTCTCACATGCTTCTTTTGAATGAGCTTCATTCTGCCTAGTCACAAGTGGGAATGAAACCGCACGATGCAGTGCGAGTGTGTCCCACAGAATATCATTGACCAAAATGTGTGTTACATTCCTTCAGTCCGAATCCAGCGCATGGTCATGCTTGCGCTAGGTAATTGCCGAGTAACCAGAGGGAACTTATGCTCTTCACGTCGTGGATAATATTTCGAGCAGTGGTGAATATAAACAACACGACCTGTCCAACCAGTATCATCTGCCGGTGTCATGTTATTAGCCACACACGGATCCATTTCCAGTAAACCTTAGCTCCAGCATCATTGTGTGTTCTCGGTATCGACAACCGGTAGTTTATCTGCTACAGTAATCCCATTAATCGGGTCAGTTACTGCCAAAACCAACTTAGCAACATCATGCCCCTGCGTAGGCAAACCTCATTAAAACTACTAGGCTCAAGAATGGATATTGTAGAAGCAATGGTCAACCAAAGGTGATCACAATATCTCACCATTCGAACTCCTTTGTTCATCACTTTGGTCACCGTGTCCGTTACGGTAGCCGAGCCATCAAGCAAGGGTTTCAGTGCTGAGCCATCGAAAACTCCCACAGCACTGTTTCATTAGGATAAGAAAGATAAAGTGGTTGCGCAATTAACCATGCTAACGAGATATGAAGCTATCGAATTCGACTGTAGCATAGTGAACAGATGTAACGTATTGTACCAAGGAATATAAACCACACTTGGACATTGATTACGACATGTCAACCGCATATATCGGTTACGTGCATGGAATTGTGGTACTACCTAATCTCCTTCGGTGAGCATATCAACATTGATTTTTCTCGAATGACACTCGATGTTAACTTTTGCTGGCGAATGGTTCCGTTTTCGCATTCAAACTGGGGAAAAGCTGGTTGGACTAACACGACATTTAATACCACAACATCTCTGACAAGTCTTGGAAATATGGATGCGCAATTTAGAACAGAATCTGGGAAAGTCAAAACTAAAACTTTCGACTTACCCGTTTGAGTTTTCGTCGACCACAACGACCCGGTTTCTTCCGGTTAAACGCATTTCCTCAACAGCAGCCTTAATTGTGAAATTCGCAGAAATGCCGACCGCTTTTGGTATTTCCATGAGCATATCTGTAGTTCTTCGTGATACCCATCTGAATTAGCACAAAAAGTGCATCATTGTAGAAGCAACAAATGTGTATCTGTGAGGTCACAAATATGATTAAAAAACGTCCTCATAATCTAGCCATCCAGTTATTATCCAATAAATTTACGCGAAATTGAACTCTCAGCCTGACCACAAGATGTGCTATGTCGCACCACCTCCACACGAGAAGGCAAGTTCAGGTTAGTGCAGTGTTTTGTGGGGTGGATTACCGAGATACTGTTCCAGCATTAATTGTCACACACACACATCACTTGCTTAAAATTGCGACGCTTATAATGTCTTGACGGAGCACTGATGCATGCTGTTATACTTTCAGTTGAATGGGGAGACAATACGGCCAATGAAAGTACGCACCATTACGCTCTCTTGGATCCATTGGTCTGCCACCAGCACTAAGAAATATCCCCACGTACATATAGTATGCAAAGGTTCCGTTCGAGTCAAATCATCAGTTACTTGCAGAGGTGGTATTTCCACCGAAGCTGTGGAAATCAGAAGCACGGTGATGCAGACATATTGAATTCAGAGCCTCATGCAATTATCCTCGTGATTAAAACGAATATGAATTACGCAATACACCTAATCCATTGATCGCACGGATTCGCAACCCGTGCATTTCAACCTGCTTGAACTCATCATATCGCCTTCGCAATTATTCGTTCATCTGCACACGAATGAAAGGCATTGCGTTGCATCACCACTACAACAGCTTGTCGGTTATCTCGAATGCCAGCAGTGTAGACTATCTCTGTAGTGGAGGGTGTTGAAATAGAACGACCTAGTTCTTCGCTCCGAACACAGTAAACACTACAATTAGTAGTTAGCCAAGATAGCCCGCAACTCACCCGCTGCGAAACTCCATCCCTTTAGGAAAATCGATGAAGCCTCGGCTGTACATCCACGCATCCGAAAGGAACTTCGTCCTAGCGAAAATGAAGAAGAATATGCTAAATTAAGCATGCAACCACTTCGGCTTAGGCTAGAACCAAATGCCGTGTCCTTTGCCGGGACCACCAACGTCAGCACAATGTCTAAGACAACTTTACGACTCTTATATCAACTTTGTACTGTTGCAATCAAATAGGCTTGGATGCTATGCTAAAACATGTGCGAAGCCTTAGCACTAAGCGCAAGTTGACTTATATAACACTACTGAATTTGGGTTTCAGCCTTCGAATTGCTGAAGCTTCAGCAATGCTCGCCTGTTAAAGTTTGCTGTAGCTTCAACAACTACGAACATTGAGGGGCTTAAAACTACACTGCCTCACTGTTGCGAGTGAAGTTTGTGTGTCCAACGAACGTGAGGAATTTTGATCATGCATTTGAACAAGAAACAATGTTTTCGGTTACACTACCTTGTTTAAGATGGGGAATGAAGGCAATTATACCATTGATTACTTTACCCCGCCATATGAGACAGGGTGTCTAACCACAGATATTGCCGGTCTCGAGGATCGTGTCCAGGAAGGTGATAAGCACCTACGGACCATTTAGTGGTTTTACTGAAACATTAACAGAATTGGCGAATAGGTACCGAGGTAGCCGGTTTTCATGCAAGCGGAGCATAGGATACAGTCAACTGGGTCCGTTCAAATTCGGCAGGATCTCAGGCGAGATACCAGAAGGTTTGGCATCGGGCTATAAATATAGAACTTCAAAGTCATTTAGTCGGTTCGAACACCAGCTGGATGAGCATACTTCGTATGAACAACACCTCATAAGTACCGGTAACACAGGTCAGTCTCTTGACTTCCTCATCGCACAAAGCTCATCAGTGGGATAACATTAACCATACGATATATCTTAAAAAAAATAGTCGCTTAACCAGTAAGCTCGCGTCGAGTCGACTCCACAAGTGATGGAAATCTTGAGGGGGCACAGTAATCTAAGTAATGGGCGCAATAGCGAATTCAGTGGTGGCACTACCAGCTATTCAGGAGAGTAGACCGCTGGGCTACTTCGAATGGTTACAGAGTGAAGGCAAATAATGGTTGTGAGTCAGCCAATCCAGGTAGCAGTAATTTGCACTTTGAAGGTGCAGATCACGAGATGGAACATGTTAAATCACTGTCGACTACAGATGAATTAAAACAGCATCGTTTCACATGCAAATTTTTACAACTGGAAAAAGCATTTACTAATGTCGTTGAAGCAAACAGTCCCGCATCTTTGAGCAACGACGGTATATTGCTAAGAATAATTATTAGGATTTTTATCCGGTTGATTCGATAAAGCTTTGCCAATGCACATCTCGCTAAGCGATATTAATTCACAGAAGGTAACAAATGGCGAAATATCTGCAGAATCTAAATCCATTTCTTTCGAAGAATCGGTGGTTAGGTATCTTCAG